AGTGGAGTAGACACGGTGGGCAGGGGGGGGGGGGGGGGCAGTACGAGACACACACCATTGCCTAACTTGTTTTATTGCACAGCTGGGTCTGAGGAAGCAGATCGGGTCCGCAAAATGTTTTTTTGCCCTGCAAAAGGACATAGACAACATGCACTTGATCTTCATACAGTTTGTAATTGAGGTGGTTTTCTCTCCCCACTTCTCGATTGCTGCAGGACAATAAGAAGCACTGCACAAGGACACTGTGCTAAATTTTGTGTTAGGTTGGGCAATATATTTTAAACATTTGTGGTATCTGCTTTAAGCGAATTATGTTCAAATAAAATTCACGTGATTTTATATGATGTTTGTTTTATGATGAATGGGAAACCTTTAAAGTCCATTTACCTTGGGTCTGATATATAGGCCCCAACTTTGGGTGAATTTTAGAGAGAAAAATTTCCTTCACGGGGTGCACAGAGGAGGACTAGTAGGTCATTCCATCCTCTGGGTCAAAATCCCAGATATTGGATTTGGATGAACGAAGCAAAACAAAAAAATCCCAGAAATTGGATAAGTGACACAATTTAAAGGCTACTTAAAAAAAATGACCGCTTCAGTAAATCACTCCAAATCCAAACTTGTCCTGCTTTGTTGTTAGAAAACAATCAATCAACAATCAATTTAGAAAAGAACAGGACTAGACAGAACCAGGAGAAAGGCAGCCAATGAACGCAAGCATCCTTCAGCTAATATAAATTGTCCACCCTTCCACCAGAGGAATCATGCAATCAAACAAATGTGACTGGTAAACCTACCTTAGCCTAAAATGACCGATTACGGAAAACAAATATCTACACTGCAAGGCTGAACTCCAGGCAAACCGTTAAATACACATATGAAATAAATCTATGCAAGGAGGGGAATTTATCAAAAACTGGAGCAGACAAAATCTGGAGCTGCTGTGCATGGCAACCAATCAGCATCTCTCTTTCATTTTCAAATCTTAACTGAACAATCTGAAGAGAGAGGCTGATTGGATGCCATGCACAGCTGCTCCAGAATTTGTCTGCTCCAAATGTCATAAATTCCCTCAAGGTGTTTTACCTGCCTTCTGAGAACTGCCATCTAATTCTGAGATATACACAGCTCTGCCACACAGCAATGTCCTGTCTGGCAGGAGAGGAGACCTGAATTTTCTCTCATGCAGTTCAGTAACCATTACAGGCCTCCTCCCCACCCACTGACTGAACAGTGAAAAGAGAAGCAGCACAGTAATTAGATCATCTCTCTGTTCTTTCATCCTATCAACATGCTCCCTGCACTGCAGCAAAACCATTTTCCAATTTGCTGATTCAGTCTAAGCTCCGTTGTGGAGGGTCTGCAAAAGGCCCAAGTCAAGTAAAAATTAGGTACTTACACGGCTTGCGTTAAAAAACACACTTAAGGCTGTATTATGAACACAGTGTGTCTTTTAGAACTGCCCAGGGTTCAGCTCCATCTATGTTTCACTATCCATAATGGCTACTTTTTAATGGATAAGGTGCATGTTTCACTATCCATAATAGAAGCATTGTTTAGGGGCCCATTCACACCACATCCAGATCTCCAGACCAGACCGTTTTCAGACGCAAAATGCATCCTAATGTATCCCTATGCTATTTCTGGTCTGTGCTCACACAAGCGCAGTTCGTTCCAGACCAGACCAGAAAAATACTGCATGTCTCATTTTGTCTGGTCTGGAATGCATAGAAACGCATCAAAACCACAAACGCATAGGAACGCACCTGAAAGGCCATTTTAAGCAGAAAAAAACAGCTCCGGAAAGCGGCAAAAACGCAATGCACCGCATTCCAGATCTGGTTCGGAAAATGGTGTGAACCTGGCCGAAGACAACACTGTATTAGGGGCAGTCATCACTGCAGCTAGGACACCTGTAGCTTACCAATAGCTGGAAAACTGATGATTGGCTTAAGAATACTGGGGGGGGGGTAGGGGTAATGCATGGTATCCAACCTACCTGATCACAGCCCACCTTCACCAGGTCCTGCAGCATCTGCCGGTTCACTTCTACAGCAGTCACATTTCCAGATTCATTGGCGAAAGGCAGCAATGAGTAACGGATCTCCCGCAATGCCTTTTGGTAAGGGCCAAACTTGGCCGGATGCCGCAGCTGCTGTTGCTGCTGTCTTGCGGAATCTTTGCCATGCAGAACCTGCAGAGAATCATTGCTGTGTCCAACAGATAAACCATGAGCAGCCGGCTTTGGTGGCTGCTTCAAGACTTCCCGGATCTCCTGCAGTCTCTGTCTGCTGTTTCCAGAATAGGTGGTGGCAGGGAACGTTTTTGGCCTCATGATTAATCCGGGTTAATATGCTCAGCATACAGTTGCTCTATCCCACCAGATTAGGATGTTCAGTTGTGCTTATCCATCACAAATTGTCCCGGGAACAGGATCCAGAGTTGTGAAATTGTAGCTCCTATACCATCCAAATAAGGAGGAGTTCCACATTCTCAATCTGAAAAACAAAGATGAATATATTTATATTATAGGCAAAAGTTTTACCTCTACGTTGCAATGGGTACACACGATTTGTTTAAAGTAACCCTGTGACATTACACAACATATGCCATGGACACTTACATTGTCTATTCAGCATCTCCAGATGCCAGCAGGAGTTTTCTGATTGTTGTACTGAATGACTCTGCAACATAAGAAGCGGGGCCTTTCAAGTAGGAAACAGCAACCAGTTCCTGTGGTTGGTGGCTCTGCCTCCAGAACCCAGACATCTTCCTACTATGATGCTTGGCCCCACCAACCGAGAGCCCCAAGTAGGTGGCTGCTGCTTCCTAAGGAGAGCAATGTATGGTGGTATACAGGGGGGTGCTATGTAACATCAGTAATTCATGCAGGTACCTGGAGATGTCAACTTGACAATAAAAGCGTAAAATATATATACACACACACACACACACACACACACACACACACACACACACACACATACATATATACATATATACACACACACTGAGTGGCCAGTTTATTATGACCACCTGACGTTTTGTTTGTAGGCAAATTAGCTATAATTTCGCATTGAAGTTGCTAGAGAGCCAGACCATTATAAATAGGGAAGCAGGTTGTTTACCACGACAGTAGAAGTGATTTTTTTCTGAAGATATAGGTAAACAACGCGATTTAACAGCCTTTGAACGTGGGATGATTGTTGGCGCTCTGAGCCATGGAGCGAGTATCAGCAAAACAGCAGAATTCGTTAAATGTTCAAGAGCAGCCGTTGTTAAAGTGTTTAAAGACTTAACTGTCAGCCGAAAATCTTGGTCTGAACGTGCGAATTGTGGCCGTCAGCGACTAGTCAATGTTAGGGCAGAACAGAGAGTGGCAAGACTGGTACAAGACAACAGAAGGGCAACCGTGCAGTGTCAGATTCCTCGCATCACCATTCAACATCTCGTGGAGTCACGAGGGGCCCAACGAAGTCATGTCGTGGAGTCATCTCGTGGCCCAACGAAGTACTGATGGGGTGGTCATAATAATCTGGCAACTCAGTGTGTGTGTGTGTGTGTGATAGATTAGTGCATGTGTACATAATTTGTGTTCCGCGACATGTCAGGCTTACAGGTCACCTCCAGTAAGTAATCAGTAGTAAATGCAGTACAAAGAATGCCCAGTATAGCTGGTTCCCCTAATTTTGCTGATTCTCTTTTTTATCCCCCCTACCTGTAAAAAAGCCCCTCTCCCTTTTGTTGGTCTGTCATGTTTTTAGACTAAACTGTTGGACAAGAGGTTGTGTCATTGTGTCAAATAGCCGCTTCCCTATAGGTTTTTCATTTCATTGGGTTGTCAGTGCAGTACATTATTAGCCTATAACGTGATCTAGATATCTATTCATCTATATAATTTGGACTTGATATATAAAACCGAGGGAACCAAACAGGTTTTAAAATGTTTCAGACCTCTTTCTCACACCTAACTAAACTACAACTCCCACAACTCTCTCGAACAGCAAGCCATGGCTTTCAATCCGATGTTTTCAAGGTATTGTTCTTGCAACTGTGCCTATGCAAGAGCAGTCATTCAATAATGTCAGTGGTTAGGTGACCCCGACCGAAAACATTTCTAAGGCAGACACAGAGCTGAAATGAACAACAAAGATAACAGAAAAGTGACACAAAAAGAATAATGATGGGAAAGGTGTCGGGACCCATATCAACCAATCCATCAGAAATCCTCTGTCAAATGATCCCTTTACAGCCGGCGTGTCAAATGCTATTGAAACAAGGGTCAAGGGTCAAACTTTCCCCCCCAAAAAACCATCAGAATCTCTTTACCTACAGCAAGAAATTAAAACTTGAATCTTGCTAATTGCTGCAGATGAAATAGACAACTCTTCTATAAGGTAAAAGGGCCCCTTTGCATCCAATGTGTTAATTTTTATGGTTGTCAAGTTAAAGAAGAACCCCAGGATTTATTAAAATTATTAACCCTTGCAGTAAAGTTACTCACGCACAGCAAAAGGGTTAAGGGCTTGTTCACACCGAAAGTGTATGCGTTCAAGGCAAGCCCTATTTTTTGCGTTTGCAGTGGAACGGAACGCTGGCAAAGTTTTGCCAGGCGTTTGATCGCACTGCGGGCGGGAGTGTGTGGAAGCGGTGCCATTGAATACAATGGACCGCAACGCCCCCTCCCGCAGGAAGAGGTTTCACAGCGACCGCTCTGGAACGCACACAGTGTGAATACGTGCGGCAGTGTGAATGAGGCCTCAGACTGTTTTACAAGAGGCTCCATCCATCCCTATGGGAAAGAGGGAGATATCAGGGGTCCACAATCAAAAGCTAGTTGAACGTGATTAACGTGCTAGACTGCCCTGTCTGACGATAAAGGAGAAATGTTGGGAGAGTAAAATGTACTCTTCCCAATACAAAGAGCCGGAGTGTGACAATGCAGATGTTACATGGGAGCTCTACAGCTTGAGAACTGAGAGATCACATAATGCTGATTGCTCAGTTCACGGTCTTCTCCCTGCAGAGAGCGGTGACTGTCAGTCATCGCTCCCCGCAGCTATTATCCCCCTCCCCTCTCTCTGTTCCTCCAGTGCTCTTTGGAGGGACAGACAGGGGAAGGGGCAGGCACAGCCGGCTCTGGCTCTAGAGAGGCAGAGCCAACTGTCAGTCAGGCAGATAGGTGGATCCTGACAATACTGGCGGGCCCCTTCCCGGCTGCAGTGTCAGCATATAGCAAACAGTAGCCAACTAGATGCTGTCACAGGAGAAAATTAGTAAATCTACTCCTGTGACCCAAAACAAAACTATAGCCAAAAAAAGGTTTGGCTTTAGTTCTCTTTTAATGACTACGTTGTCCATCACAGGGCGAATGCAGCATTCATTAGCTGAATCTTGTTTATTCCAATGCTGTCAATGCAAATCTAATTAGAATGTGTTACTATTACACACATTACTGTGGGGATTTCTCAGTAGAATAGAAGCAATACTGGATGGAGTATATTCTAAGAACATTCAATCAGAAGAGAAAATAGACTAAGAACATTCGATTATGCTTTATACATTCGATTACAGCTTCATGCACTGTGCAAAAAGTCCCTGACTTATTGACACAGAACTAATGTCAGGGCTTGAAAAATGTTAGGGTGTCTCACCAGCCAGTCAAAAATGTCACCAGTCAGCATGACCGGACTACAGCCTTGCAATTTATGTAAAAAAATTTTGGGGACAGATAGAGCTTTCTTTTGGTGGTATATAAAATCACCATGGCACCATGGGGGGGGGTTATTTTTTACTACATAATGATAAAAGTACAGTAATTAATGGCCCTAAAATTATTGCTTATCACTCCGACGTTCGCGGTTATATGTAACATGTGCGGCACAATAGGCGCAATCGTTTTCGCACGTAGGCGCACCTTGACGCATATCTGCATGAGTATGTGGGGGGGCGGAGGATTTTAAAAACATTTTTTTTTTTCTTTAATGCTTCTTTCATTCTTGTATTACTTTTTTTTTTTACACAACTTTTGGCTATCACATGGGGGGATTCTTAACCCCCCATGTGATAGCAATATTTACATGAAAGGTCCTCTTTATGAAGACATCAGGGGTCTCCAAGACCCCTGTCACCTAGGGAACCCAAGAAAAGCTGAAGAAGCAGAGATCTGCTTCATCAGCTTCAGTAGCTGGAAAGTGACACTGAATGCAGGAAGTGATGTAATATACATCACTTCCTGCATTCCGACACTGAGAGGAGATCAAAGGGAGATTGTGTACTGATCTTCCTTTGATCTCCTGTCACAGAGCCGTGCCGGTCCCGGCCGCATCGGGCACAGCGGATCTCGCTGACAGCTGTTGGCAATACAAGCGATCGGGCGTCTCGAGACCCTCGATCGCTTGAATGTAAAGCTCCCGGCCGGCCGTGTAATTACAACGGCCGGACGGGAAGCTGCTCGTCGTCGGGCTCCGTCGTCCTCTTGTCACAGACGAGCGGACGAGTGGATTTTTCAAGCCCTGACTAATGTACATGTAATTCTGCTGGATGAATAGTTCTGCAGATTTCTAATAAACAGACCCTTTAGTGTACAGAGTAGCAGGCATGATGACAAGGTGAAAAGCTAATCTCTTGTCAGCACTACAAGCCACGTCTGAGAAACACTACTTATCCTAGCCCCATGGCACAAATGGTTCGGGCAGCATGTGCGGCCGTGTATGAGAGTGTTCAGCACAACATGCAGACTGATGGTAGGTCACAACATAAACCTGCAAGTATAGGGCCATTACCAGGGCTTGAAAAATCTGCTAGTCCTCTCGTGTGATGAGAGGATGGCGGAGCCCGACGAGTAACTTCCCGTCCGATCACTTGTATTAGCAGCTGCTGTCACTGGTCCCGCGACCCGCTGCGTCCGGTGCGGTCAGGACCGGCACGGCTGCTCTGTGACAGGAGATGATCGATCGGTACGCTATCTCCCTCTGATCTCCGATACGTCCCCGAATGCAGGAAGTGATGTATATTACATCACTTCCGCATTCCTCTGTCACTTTCCAGCTTCAGAAGCTGAGGAGAATCTGGTGAAGCAGATCTCCGCTTCATCAGCTTCTCTGGGGGTCCCTAGGTGACATTAGAGGTCTTGGAGGCCCCTGATGTCCCCATAAAACTAATGAACAGTAAAAGAGTTTAAAGCGTCGCCTATGCCCAATTTTTGGAGTGGTCGTTTTTTGTGATTTTGCAGGCGCGCGCAATTTTGAAGCTTGACATGTTTGGTGTCTATTTACCCAACGTGATTCAAAATCCAAAATGTCCCATCGCACTCCTGACCGGAGAAAAAGTTCCCCAAGCACAGGGCGGGTGCGGCAGTGACAGCAAACACCTCCACAGATAATAATAAAGCTAAAAAGTCACTTGCACTCCAATGTAGCTTCCAGTCAATCTATTTATTGATGGAAATGCTGCACCATTTAGTCAATAAATAGATTGACTGGAAGCTACAT